GGGAAAGGGAGGGAGGGGATGGAAGGGGAGACGACAGCAGTTCTTTGGTTTTAATCCAATACTGAAGGTCCGCTGAAATTCACAGGAAACTGAACAGCAACAGCACAGTGAATGGGAATCAGGGTATGCAGAGCACAAAACAGGGATAACAAAGAAAAGGGAATTAAATTAAGGTAGGAAAAACTGGTAGCTTTTCCCAACAGATCAACACACATATAATCAAAAATCCTGTAAGGTGTCTCAACATCTCATCAAGCTGACTTCTCCATGCAAATCGGTACTGAAGTGAAAATCTGTAAGCAACATCAATACTTAGAGGAAAACCGGTCAACAAGTCACTCCCTTTATTAAGATCTGGACTGTATTAGGAACAAAGTTTGAAAGCAGTTTCCCGGTGATTATTCTCTACTGAATGTGGCCATTTCTGCCCAAACAACAACAGGAAATTTGAAATAGTACTGCTGAAAAATGAAATGCAATAACAACAGTAATAAAAATATTTTGTACTCCAGAGTACTTCACATATATGAAGTACTGCACGAACATTAATTTATCCTAATCATCTCCACGAATCAGGTATGTATTATTAATAGCACCATTACGCAACTGCTGCAGATTCCTGTTATTTCTTTTGCTCACTTCTCTTATTCCTCTTTTCCCTTTCACATGCAGAACACATCCCTCTGATTTGTTTGCGCTCCTCCTTTTCTCCTTCAAAGTTTCTCACCCACCTACTCTGGCACCCCTACCCTTTCTGTTCCCAGTTTAAGACACGCAGAGGTTTTTCATGTCCTTAGCTAGCTGGAACACTTCTCATCTACCTGCATCACTTACACCTGAAACTCTAAGTTGAAAAATGTTTTACTGGACAGACTGATAGCCCGCATAGCAGTGCTCACCAGAAACACACAGTCATCTGACGATGATTAAAAACACAGCTCATGATATCTGCACCAGCACTGGCACCTGTTTCACCACCAGCCGTTTCTTTTGGAAAAGGACAGATGCCTAATTTTCGAGCACTGGAGCTGAGTAATAACGCAATAGTCATACAGCGGCCCTACAATGACAGAACAACGCTAGTACAGCAAATGCTGGCGACCATGAAGCAGTCTAGTTTTCATCCAGATTTTCAAGGAATTCATCATAGGTAACAAAATCTGTAATTTCTATCTAAATCTTGGAAGACTTCCATCAATTTTTACACAAGTTCATCAGTATCACCTGGAATGACATCATTCACATACAATGCAAGTACTAACACAAGGGAAATTCTCACTCGCATACACACGCAATATTGCAAATTTAATCAAACACATTAGTCCCTTCTTTGCTGACTTAGGCTGTAACACATCAATAACTGCAGAAATTCTCAGGGCAAACACTAAGTTGACAGGACTCTTTCCTCTGAGGCAGCACTTTTCAGAGCAGTTTTTAAAATGCTAAGCTAGAACTATTCATCAAAATTGTTTTCTTTAGATGGAAAACAGTATTACAAGAAAAAGGATGACTTGTTTACCTCCCCGGCCAAAAGCATACAAACAGAAAAGATGAGACAAACACCTTTACTGAATGGCACAGACTCGAGAAAACAAGCATTGAAAAACTAACTGCAAACATGACTGTGCTAGATTTGGTATTTCCTTGAGCATCTGGCATCCCAAAGATCTGAGATATTAGGTAAAAATATCAACAGGGCATCGATATTCGACAAGACCTATCTTCCAGCCTCATTTTAATTAACAGGTGTTAAAATTTTTATTAAAAAATTTAGACATTATTGTTTTTCTTTCCAGAGGTAGGTAAAACTATCCTGGAATTATCTGTACAGAAATTAAGTAGGAAACCGAGTAACTTGGAAACTTTATGCCTACTATCCATACTCAATAAATTTCGAGACAAACCTCCTTTCCCAATAAAACTCAGAATCAGCTGCTTTATAAAATGAATTGAACTAGCAGTGATGCTTTCAGTCGAAGAGAGAACACCACAACATGCTTTCTCTAACCCTCCCAGAACTGGGGTGCGGCAGCGCAGAGCCCCACACGCCCCCAGCCCGAGGCCTGCCCCGGCAACACCGTGATCCTAACGTGAAAGTGCACCACGCGCTCGTGCCAGCAGCACTGACACAGCAGCCAGCCCCACCCAGGGAAAGGGAATTCAAACGGGCGCACGATCCTCATGACTTAACGGATAGCAGGTTTGTGTATTCCAGGCATAGCAAGGGTTTGCACAGCACTTCAGCTGTTGTAATTCCCTTGGTGCTTAATATACATTGGATCCTTTTATTCATCAAAATATTGTACTCGCAGATTTTTTTATTTCCCCTCCTTTTGTACGATTACCTACATATGCAAGACAGTCAGATTCTCCTTCACTCTTCCAGAAGGGATGATGTTCAAAATGTGACAGAAAAATAAAAAGGCAAATTTAGGCAAAAAGCAGAGGTCTCTCCAAAGTCCCTCCCGGAGAAGAGCTTTCTGGCTCTCCTCCTCTTACTCCCAAGTGAGATACCACCACAAACAATACCGCCCAGGGCTGCCAGCATGCTTTTTAAAGAGCATTCACGGAAAACGCTGCCAAGAGTAAAACTCAAGTTTCCGCTTACCCTGTCTCACATGGTAGTGCATAAAGAAAAAGGCTGACAGACGAGTCTGGTACTCTGCAGTGGGGTAACAGCTCATACATTCTCCCTTATCAGATCATGGAATAAATATGTAATAGGTTAAAGTACTTAATATCATAAATCAAGCAGGGTCAAGACCAAGTGAATGCCTCAATATTCGATACAAATATATCATGCCTGTAGCATTATTTCATTACTTTGCAGCTAAAATAATACACTTGCAAAATGTATGTTCCTGTCTCCATTTTTCAAGCTCTTTTCATAGGTTTCACAACTTCACTAAAAATACATTTGAATTTTTACTGCTGTGTCTTTGTGACAATGCATATATATACATCATGTAGTTCTATCCATTAGCGTAGCACCATCATTTACTGCACTGCAAATATTTAGCAGCAAGACTCACACAAAGCTTGTCAGCTTATCCTAAGAGCGTGTTTGGTGTAATCTGCCAGCTCCTGGTGAATTCTTGGGACCTTTTGCTAGCTTTTACAGCTTTCTGGCATTAATAGCTCATTAACTGCTTTCTCTGAAGACAAATATGTTGAAACTCTTTAATAATTTCCTCTGCCAGTATCTATTTCTGAGCTTACTGATTCTCAATTCAAAAGTTTTGAACATCTTGCAAGCTTTGATTTCTCACCAAGGTTGTCTTCTGCTTCTACACCAGATTTCTTCATACACCTTACAGTTATCTCCACCTTGCAGTAGTATTCCTGATTAGTTTTGGCCCTGTTTTCCTAAAGATCCCCAAATCACGCTTATTTCTTGTTTTCTTTTTCTCAATGTTGTGGTTTTGGCTTTTTTTAAGTCTTGACATTTCCAAATAATCACCTAGAAGATGGTTTAACTGTTTCTGAAACTGCCTTATTCAATTCTATTTTTCATGCATTTTTATCCTAAAAACATACCGGAGAGTTTAGCATGTTTAAAGAGATCAAAGTAACCGATGCCTCAATGAACGCCAGGCCTAAATTCTGAAGACATCTGTCAGATAACATTTACAAAATGTCTTAAGTTTTCCTCTCTTCATTGTTTCAAACTTTTCAAAATACTGCACTCAGAGGAATGTCAGATTCTTAGAAGTATATTTTACAACTCTAGAAATATTTTATCTGTAGCTTTCTTTAACAAAATGACAAATGTATAAAAGTATTTACTACTCCTCCAATAAAAAAAAGGCAAACCAAAAAACCCCAAAGAACATCTTGAAAGAATATTAACTGGCATTGATTCTTTAAAGTACAACATTCACCCCCACAATATTAAGACTGGGTCGTTTTTTCCCCAGAACCTTTACACTTCCTGATCATGCGTGTCTAATAATAAATTTAACCTAACAAAAGACATAATTCAAGCTTTAAATAAATTAATTTCTAAGTTTTAAAGATATTAAAGAAAATTGAGGATAACATGGTGGTAAGGCACGATCGAAAAATTTGGTTTTAATGTCCTGTGAAAGATTTTTGTGCAGTTCTGGCTAGAAGTTTAAGTTATTTTTAAGAAAGCACACTTGAGAAAGCCACAGGTAATTTTTTATTTATTTATTTTTTAAAATGAAAGCCTGCCCTCTTGTGTAAGATTGAAGTTTAGCATGACTACAGCCAAGAACACAGAGGGATAAAGACCAGTTCTACTCCTTGACTGTCTAGAAAACATACACCTTCCAGAGCTCTTCTATCGGAGCGTGCTGCTTTTGCTGAATGGGGAACACACAAAGCAACTACTCATAATGTAATGCCCTCTCTGCAACAAGAATATAAAGAAAGTGTTTTCTATTTTTGCTTGTTATCTTGGCCAATAAACTACAGTCAATTTGCAAATATTTGAGTGCACAGGTAATTTTGGAAATAGCCTCTACCATCACCTTTTGTACACATTCAGAAGAGACAAAAGGAAAAAAAAAGTTCTTCTCTGCCTAACACTGACAAATAAAGGAGAAGAAAAGGAAGAACAGCTACATCATTGTGACTTCCTGTTTTGTTTTTTAAACCTTATTCCAGTTAGGATACTATAAAGGAACCTACCTCCTTAAGAGAAAGAGAAGAGGCCAAGCATGAAGTCTAAGCCACAAGTGACTTGTGAAAGCCCACTGAAGACAATATATAAATGTCACTTAGCACTGCTAAAGTCGAAATCACTGAAAACTAGCACAACTACTACCTACTACGTGCATTTCAGTCAGCATGAGCAATAAATGTTTATCCAGCTGCATAAGTAGCAGCACTGTCATAGAATACATAATGCAGTGCATTCATCATGGACAATATCTACAAAAGGACAAAGTTTTCACCCATACTTGAAATTAAGAATACTTTATCCCCCCGAGAAGTTAGACCTCTCCAACAGAAGTAAAAAAACAAGTAACACCTACTTTCGAAGGTGTTCGTGTTCCTTCAGGAATAGTTCTGTTCTTCTGTTATTCACTCCAGACCCACTTTTATATGATCTAAAATAAAAAAAAAAAAGAATTGAAAATAATTTTTTCCAGAGACTTTTCATTAGACTGTATTAAGTGATTTACATACCTATCATGCTTTGTTACTCTGAAGTGACCAAACAGAAAAGTTCCAGACATTTTTAGTGTGATTTGGCATAGCTTAATAGTTTTACTTTAAAAACATGAATTCCTTTTCAGTTAAAAAAATGCAAACCAAAACATAATCTTATCATGACCTTAATAAAAGTTGTCCATTCCAGTAACTTTTTTTGCTTTGTTCAGAGCACAGATGAATAAGCTATGACAAGTATTCTCCTACAGGAGGGTTGCTTTCTTCAGAACCATGCCATTGCTATAATGCACAATACGACTTACTCGATATCTTTTCGTACTGATCCCAACAGATTTTCCCTTTCTCGTATCGCCAAGAAGTTTGCTTTGGTTTTGTGGAATTCGTGCGTATAATCCTGTAATGAAACAATTAGTCCAAAATGAAGATCGTGAGATCACTTCAACAGAACAATATACTCAAGTAAGATCCAAACATCTTTGTATTAGAGAACAGTTAACACTTTAAAAGTGCAAGACCAACTTATTAAATTAACATCTAAACTGCCTAGAAGTTAATGTGAAGTATTTTTAAAACTCACTGCTCTTGCAGGATTTGCTAACTTTTGAGAGCTACAGTTAAGGTCATAGGGGGAAATCCACTGCAATTTCTTGTCTCAGTTTCATGTATCTTCATCCTTCTGATGAATTATCATTTTGTGTTGGAATTTCCTATTACTGGTTGAATCAGAAGCCCTAGTAAATCCTACTTATTTGGTGTGGTGAAGACATTATTGGGTTTATTTTGTTAAGTTAGGCCAGATTAAAAAAAAAAAAAAAAAAAAAGAGTATTTTCTGAACAGTGAAGACAACTTTTTTTTTTTTAAAATGTTCAAGTTGCAATTTTACATTTGAAATTGTTTCAGGCAGCTAATACTTCTTGAAAACCAATTTAACTGGTAACTGATGTCCACCAAAACCACTGTAACATTTGGCAGAATTTTTCATATAAATGTTATGGCTTTTACAAAACGCTATGCTTTTTATATTGTGTATTGCACAGGTACAAAACAGAAATCAAACTGACCAGCCAATAAATAATAAAACATGCATTGTTAACATTACTATGCCATGAAAACATCACCAGTTTGAAAGACAGTTGATTTATAATGCTAATTAGTAGCTTTAGCCATCATATTTCCTTCAACTCCCTTTAGCAGTTTAGATGGTTTTGCGATCATATTTTCTTATCTTAAATTGATTTGCCCTCTCATATTGCTATGCGAGAGACTACACAGACAAGATAATTCATTGCAGTAGCCTTCCCCTTTTGCTATATAAAAGACACCTTTATAAGATGGCACACTTTACTGTTCTTTCTTAGCTAGGAGCTAGTCACCAATATAACATAAAAATTGCTATGTGTTCAACTCAGAGTTCACCAGTTGGGGTGCCTGGAGAGAAGAAAAGTGAGATGGGATCGGTGGCATTTAAGTCTTATGGTAAGACATTCAAGCCTGCTGTGACATCAGCACTGCTAACAATTATTCCAAATAAACAAACAAAATAAAAGCAAGAAGGACATGCATTTGTTACCTGCAATATGTCTCTATGACGCTGTAACGTATGCATCAGTGCAGCATTCAGGGACGGGACTCCTGCGCTATTTGTGTATTCTGCCATTTTGTCATTTATTCCAGTAAGCTAGAAGAAGAAAAAAACCAAATCCAAAAGCATGAAATGGCTTACTCTGGTAAGAAAGTTACAATGACTAAGTTGAAGGAGCTAGCTCCAATAACAGATGCATCCCTTCAGAAACACTCGTCCAACACCCACACTAGGACTTCCTAACATTCATAACGGAAACCTGTACTGCAGTATTTCCTAGATGCTGAAGTAAACCCACAGTAACTTGAGTTACCTTTCCCAGAAGTTGTTCAATCTCCACAGCCATGGTCTCAAACATTCTGTCCTGGCTTGATCCATTTAAGAGGGGAGTTGTGTCAGAGCTGAGGAAAAAGAGGAGGAGCAGTTACTGACAAGTACATCACCTTTTCATGAATGCAAGAAATAAGGAAACACCAGTGTTAGGTGTTGGCAAGCTCTACCACCCAGGTTTCCTAGAGCCATGAACTAAGCTCAGAAAAATTACATTTTCTTATCATACATGCCTTTAACTCTTATCTGAACCAATGACACAGTTATCACCTGAGGAAAATATAGCCTCTCCTTGGAAGGTACGCCTGACACCAAACACTTGTCTATGACCAGCACACATCTAGCACCAATGCCCTTCTCTCCCCAAATTTTAAGCTTGATTTATTTATTTATTTATTGGCAGGAGGAAGCACTGCATTATTAGCATGTTACACCACCTACATAATTACATCTTAATAACACAGCACTAGGACAACCCACTGACCTATTAAGCATTCAGTGTTCTACAGGGCAATACAAACCACACAATTTATCACAATTAGCGTTTCATACAGTACACCTTCCCTATGCTTTTTAAGATAAGCTAAAACCACAACGAGAAGCCATATCTACACAACAGAATAGAAGCACAAAACAGGGTATGCCAACCCGCAGAAGTATGACAACTAATACCTTTCAGAGACTACTCCACTTTGGTAAGCTACCATAACTAGAGTAAGAGAATTAAGTTTTGCATAGGATAGCAAGAATAACTAAAACAATTAGACTACATGGCAAGTAACAACACAGAGCTAAAAACAAGAGAGGGGCTAGGACTCTGATTCAAGACTAACAAGATCATTCTTGAGGCACTCTCAGGCTACCAGAATCAGAAATTCATGGAAAGGTTCAAAATTGATTCAATAATCAAATTAAATAAATAGATAAAAATATCAACACACATACACACAGCAGTCACACTCACAACTGATACACAGTGTTGTGACCCCCAGTTAATAAGCAAAGAATGGCAATTTTTAAAGGTTGCGCCCAGGGACAGAGAATTTGATTATTAGTGCTGTGGAACTGCAGGAAAGACCTCAACTCTGGCCCATAAGCTAGAAAGACTTGAAAAGTTTTATCATATTCATTCTTCAGTTAAACATGAATCTGCCTAAAGCAAGCAGAAACTATTCACATATATGTACACATGTATGTATGTATCTGGTTCATACATGTATATAAACATACATATAGCTCTTGCTATTACTCCTCATCTTAAGAGAAAGCCAGAAAGAAACAGCTATTCCTCCTGAAGGGAGGGCTGGTCCCCTGCACAACCTTGGACCGTGACAGCTGCTCAGTGCTCCAGTTCCCTTATCATTAGAACAGGGATTACAAATACCACACCAGCCCACCTGGGAGGTGCAAGGCTAAATTCCCTTAACACCGAAGTCCCTGAAACTCCCCTGCTAGTTTAATACAAGAAAAACTGGAAAATAAGCCCATGTAGTGTGCATTAAAAAGCCCTATAATCAGCTCACGCACTAACCCCCCAGTTACAAACTGAAATTTAAATTCAGCTTCCCTTAGCGACACATACACTCTCACAACGCACCACCGCAGCCCACACACCTTTCTGACTCACACGCCAATATCGTTCAATGTTGCATCAAGACCAACACCCATCAAGAAGTGCTGAAATGACCTTCTTAAGAAGCCAAGCATAAAAGCCACAGGTGGGACTAGCATTAAGCAAATTATAAAAATGAACCAAGTATCACAAGCAGCATTTAAAACATAAAGAAACGGGCTAGTACCTATACCTGTCGCGCCTTCCGTCTCGGGTGCTGCTGTAGCTGGTGCAGAGTTTGCTGAAGGAGACCAGCTTCAGGTCCAGCTCGTTCTCCAGCTGCCTCGCCTGCTTCCTGAGATCTGCACGGGAGATCACAAACCCGCACGGTGACCCCACGCTTTCGGGGGCCGCGTTTACACGGGGTGCTTTCAAGCGGAGCTGGCGCAGACCGCTCGGAGCCCCAGAGAGGGGAACCCCACAGAGAAGGGGGGGGCCCTCACAGAAGGGGAAACACCCCATGCTGAAAGGGGGGGAGGCACTGTTGAACACCCGCAGGCCCTGTTCCCCCACGACCGGGAGGGTCCGGCACGGGGTGCCGACCCCCTCACCGCTGGCCCCGAGACCTC